TTAACGTCTGTAACTGAGGAGCTGTGGTACATACACCTGTATGGCAAGTGATGCTGATAAAATGGACAATTAGAGTGGATTAAAGGTAGGTGAACCTAATGAAGTGGCTTGTCAGTGTGTATGTCCCTGCTTACCGCTCTGTCTTATCAATCTTCCACCTGTCTGTTTTATTTCATGGGAGTCCTCCAGGGTCAGAAGTGACCTGAAGAGAGTCTCACACACTGAAGCTGCTTCCTTCTTTGCCAGTGAGTCCAGCTGGTCAGACTCATCACTGGAAGAAGATTGCAAGAAAACAAAGAGGAGCAAGAAGAGAAGGGCAGCCCCTTGGATGTCTTCAGATCACGGAAGCCCCAGACCTGAGTCCAGCCGAGTCTGAGGTGACTATATTTTGCAGATTTGTAAATAATGCACACACACTACATTAATTAGGAATCTTCCTGGAAATAAAGGCTTTTCAATATGTTGTGTGCTACTTATACAGTAGGCTTGCATTGTACCACTGATCACTGTGAGGTTTCATGGTTTGGCAAATCAAATTTACACAGTTTCCTACTTACCCCAGATGCAGTCAACCAGCCAGGACATGTCTGGAGTCCAAATGTTGCTTCTTTAGTTTAGATCTGGAGCTGCACACCCTAGAACTCAATATCCTGAGAAATAGCCCAAACTGTTTCTGAAAAAATGCATCGCCAAAACTTCTCTCAGCCCACTCAAACCCACTCAACAGAGCTAAATTAAGATCTGACAGAACACAGTATGACCTACTGTGAACAATAACAATTAATAAATAATTTCACCTAATTAAACTACACCACAACTAGCAGCCAATTCTGACACCAGTAGGGCCAGAGGACTGATCTTGGATCAAATTCCTGTCATTGCAACTAAAACTGATTCTAGATCAACACCCCTACACTGCAACAAAAATGATGTTTTGGAAATTTAAATTATCTTAAATCTAGTCAATATATTTCTAATTTTGAGGTTGCTGTAAGCTTATTATGAGATAATCTAGATTATTTCTAAATGTGTGATACTTGTTTTAGGGAAATTTTGTTAAGAAAAATTATTGGCAGATAATTTTGCATGTATCAAGCATATTTCTTAAAAGAAGCAACATAATCTGCCAATGTAGTGAGATAATTTTGCTTGATACAATCACTTAAAACAAGTAAAAGTTGTCCAGAAATAAATAACATGATCTCATAATAAACTACAATCTCAACATGTAAAATATTACATATATTGACTAGATTTAAGATACATTAATTTGTCAAGAAAGCATTTTTGCAGTGTATTTTTAAGGTAGTTTGTAAATACAGATCTGTTGTCCTAAATTCAGCAACATCATGAGTTTTGTTCATTTTTATTGTTCACTGTAACTAATACTGTGTCATAAAACACACTGACTAGTCTGTGAGACCTGAATTAAGATCTGGATGCTGTTTAAACAGGTTAAGAAATGTTTTGGTGATTTTACAAAACTGTTGGGCTATTTGGGTGACTATTGAGTTTTAAACTAAAGAAATAAAGTTTGGACACCAAACATGTCTTTACTAATGAACAAATATTGGGGACATTGGAAAATTGTGTAATTGATTTCTGTGCCAAACTATTAATTTATTCGGGCATCTGGTTAATTAGTATAGTGAATAGATACATAGACAACTATTGTGACTATTGTGATAGTTTAGCTTAAGCACTCTGCTGCAGTTGTTGTTAGTCCTCGTCCTGAAATAAGCACCACCCTGCATGTTTGAATGTTTTCTGGATCTAACACACATACATCAAGTCAGGAAAGGCTTGTTACTTAGCTGAGGAGTTGAATCACATGGGATTGTAAGACTAAAAATTGCAGGGCAGGTTGGGGCAAGCATTAAAAAATTACTGCGTTATGTTGAATGTTAATTGTCTATTTAGGTGTCTACTTTCTATTTTGATACATGCTAAAGTTCTGTTAAAATCTGAGTAATATTGTATTAAAAAGTTGATTAGCTAGTTTTTGTAGCAAGTTGTGGTGAATACTTTTACATGGAACAGTTGCAGAAAATATATGTATGTGTATATATATATATATATATATATATATATATATATATATATATATATATATATACATAAGGCTTTTACTGTAAAAAAACAAACCATTTATGCATACATTAATTAATATATATATATATATATATATATATATATATATATATATAACTAATGTATGCATAAATGGTTTGTTTTTTTTTACAGTAAAAACCTTCAGAGGCATCATACAAAGATACAAGGCAGCTCTAGAAGCCTTCAAAAGGGGAAAATCAATGAAAGGGGCACAGTATGCAGGACAGCGCCAATTGCTGAGCTCAGTTTAGCAGCACCTGATGCATTCAGAGCTATTGGTCAGTGGAATGATAAAACAGAAAAACTCTCCTCATTCATCGATAGATGTCACAGTGCAATGACCAGTGAGATTAAGAAGAAAATAACTGAAATGAAAGGTGAGCTACTGCCCCTTTCCTAACTAATATCTCAAAAAAAGATTGCGAGCTCTCCCTTTGTGATCATATTTTAATGCTTCAGGTTTGCAACAGAAATTTATTTTGTTATGTATCTGTTTTACGTAGAAAAGGCTAACATGTTTCAATGAAAAAAAAAAATTAAGTTGTGTTAGTTTTTAGCCTTGTTGTCACCTGAAAGAACTTTTTTTCTGTTAAAATTAAGAAAAGAAATGCTGCATAATTGTTGAAAATACTTGTATTAAGTTACCTCACAGCACTGTTTTTGTTTTACTTTAGGACACTGGAAATGCTGTGGATTTAATAAACTTTATTTTACTTTAAAACATGCCTCACTTTACTTTAAGCTCACCAATATTTTTAAAGGCTTTTAACTGGATTAAAATATTATTATTTGCTGTTATAACATTCCAGATAATTCATGATTGGTTAAAACTAATCATAGCATGGTTACAATATCATATATATATCAGTAGTAAATCTATTCACATAATTAAAAATTGTACATAAACTCTGTAATTTTACCTTAAGCTCACATAAGGTACATACAAAGTACAGCACATTACTGGCTTCAAATGTCAGATTTTAAACTAGTGCTGCCATCAGTGTTTTACCCAACATGGGAAAGTCAATGTACACTACCGTTAGCTTGATATTTGTCTTTGTTATTGTCCCAGTTTTTTTTTTTAAACTGGGTTTGTAGCTCGCCCAGTGTAGATGTAAATAACCTCTAAAATAATTACCTGTTAAAATTGGGACCAAAGTTTTATTACATACATCTATAATCTAAGTTCAACCAGTTTGCATGAATGTCCCTGTAGTTATGGAATAATAAGCCTTGTCCTCTCAGAAAAACTACTCCAGTAAAGTACAAATATTGCAAAATAGTTAATTAAGTATAGTAATGAAGTACAATTACTAAAGTATTTTCCACCCCTTTGTAGTTAAACTTTAACTATTTTGTATACATCAACTATTCAGAAAGATCAATTACAAAATGGCAATGTGCAACATAAAGATGTGTCTCATTATATTTAAAAAAATTAGCATTTTACGTATAATTTACTATGCTTAAGAGTATGCTTTTTTTTATTATATTATTTTCTGAAAAAGGTCATTGTTGCATGAATCCTGTGTTGGCTCCTAAATCTCATTTGACTTACTCATGAATCTACAGTAGAAATGCATCATAAGAGGATAATAACTACCAGGTACTCAGATCCAACACATGCAGTGTCTAAGTTGAAAAGCATATGAACCAAAAATGACTCCCCAAGGCACATTTTCCTTTGTCCTTCCTCCTTGGCAATGTGAAGTAATATCACTGATATAATTATGTTGAGTTGCAACTTCCTACACTGCTCATGTACAAAAAGGGACTTGTTTTTCTTCTTGTCTTGCTGTCCTCATATCATTTGCTGGTTTTGCTTATTTGCTATTTGTCAAAAATGCAGCTATGGAAAACTTTTGTGTGATTAGTAAATACTGTGTATATTGTACACAAATGATAGACCCTGCATCACATGCAATACCACTCAGATGAAATCTGGTTTATTCAAACATATCCAGCGTGGCTAAAAGTAACCCTGTCATGTAGGTAAACATTGACATGACATTTTAATTTAGTAAATAATTTGCTGTTTTTATTTGCTTTGTTGATGTTTCTAAGCATGGTAATAAGAAGTTTATCATAAACCAGTAATTACTCACAGTTTTAGCCTAATCAAATACTGCATAGTTACAGAGGTTGTGCGGGGGGGGGGGGGAGAGACAAAGATTAACACCCTGAATCTTCCAAGCACTACTAATGAAAATGTAGCCGTAATGAATTAAGATACACAAAATTTATGCACTAGAATTTCTGAATTAATAAATGTAACCTTTAGATTCATATATAGTAGTACCTACTGTATGTACTACATCAAGAACTTGCATGCTTACTCTGAATATACGGCTCATAATTTGTGTTATCTAAATAGATAAACAACAAAAAGCAGTGTTGTCTATAGTCTTGAAACAAATTCTTTAAAGCCGTACACAGCATCACATTGTAAATTGTTTAAAAAAAATACTCACTACATTTTTCCTCAGAAAAAGAACTCAGGATTTATCCAGGTAACATTTGGGGTTAAAAATGACACACTAACAACATTCATTAAAAAATCATAACATAACAATAATGACAACACAGTAGAGATTCATAACAGTTACAAATAGTTTCAGAAAAGTTGCTTATATTATTACTTAACCTAAAAATAATAACTTATATAGCATTTTTCATTAAATAAGTCAATATATGAGGTCATTAATTCACAACGCTGGGAGGTACAAAGTTCCCTTATTCTGGAGTTAAGAAATAAAATAAAGATTTCCATGACTCAAAATGGAATGTTCAGTAAATCACTGTAAAACATCTTTGTGAACAAGGTTCCTGTCCTCTGCATAAACCTTGAAAAAGCTTTGGAGAGTTAGATTTGCTAGCACCCTGCTTTCTAGAATGTGATGGAAATCCATTGAGCATATGACTCAGAATCTGCTGACGTGTAGAAAAATAGTCTTGAATGACTGGTGGGCTGGTGAAGCTTCTCTGGGCTAAGAAGAAGATAGAAAGGAAGCCTTTTTCTCTGCATGTCTTTAAAAGAAGAACATCTGAGGTGATATCTTGAGAGTTCCCCAAAGTTGTCCTCTTGTCACATTCACTTAACTGGCTTCATCATGTTTTTCTTTTCATCTATATTGAAAGACAGGTCCCATTGCTTGCCATAACTTGCAGTGTACTTCTTTCAGTCTCTGGAGTTTCTTTTCCACTTGTAGGAGCTTTGTGTGGAATATTGATTAGTGTATGATGGGAGTCATTAAATGGTTGAGACATCACTAGTCTCCATGGCATATCCATAAAGCATCAGCTAGTTGTGAAAATCTTGGCTGGTGAGGACTTGACTTCTACATTGGTGGGACTACAAGACCTGCCATTGCTGGAGAAGGAATCAGAGACTGTTTTAATATCATAAAGGTCTAAACAAAAAGGTTACTGACTAATCGTTGATACAGTCTTTTCTGTTTGACTTTTTCATGCACTGTACAGGCTACTACTCAGGACATCTTTAACATTATATAGCATCTTTAACATTTATAGTCAAGGTCTTCAGAAGACACAAGATTAAATGTATTACCTCTGAAGCCGTTGCCTCCTGTGGCTGGGCAGGCAGGTGAAGGTGAACCCTGGGGTCTCAGGACGGGAGCAAAAGCACTCTTCTGTTTGGCGGTGGAAGGAAAAGATGAGAAGGGAAGGAGAGAGGAAGAAGAGCTGGATCCTGGTATAGTGGGACTGGAAGGCATTACTAAAAAGAGACAGGAGACAGGAACTGTTTTCGCTGACGACTCTAAAACATTCTTGATGAGATGAATATCTGACCAGTGAGGTAAAAGAGGGGGTAATAAAGACTATATATGGAACAGATAACCCATTATAAGAGCCAATGGTATTGCAACAATATTGCTTGAATTAAGGGCCAGTTAGTATGAATCCTACTACTGTACCATAAGGAGAGCTGTTTGGAGAGGCGCTACTAAAGCCAGGGGACCCTGGCACACCCAAACTGCTCATAGGCACAGCTCCATATCCTCCACTCATGCCTCCTCCAGATCCATAGCTTGACTGTTGAGGAGTGGAGGCAGATGGGTAGCCACGTGGAGACAAACTAGAGTTACGCATGTAACCTTTGCAGAAGAGAGAGAGAGAAAGGAGCTGTCAATAGGTGCATTCATGTGTAATATGAACACATTCTATATCATTCCAACATACAGGTCATTATGTTTTGTAGTTGGTAGTAATATCCATGTGCATGTGTTTAGGGAAATATATCCTACATGTCACATGTGTGAAGTCAAATGCATTTTACCCAGTTTTACACAAAAACTGTTAATTAACCCCCAAAAATAGACAAAGCATTTCTAATCTGTGACATGCAAGGTTACATAACAGAACATTTCATGTAATAATATGTAAACTGATGTGCATACATTATCACTTGTGACCGTGTAACTTTTTGTTCATCTGTGAGGTCACTGGATCACTTTGCATAACTAATTTTTCACTGTAAAATTGCTCACATTCCCTGAAGTTACTCTCACCTTGCCCACTGGTTTGTCCAGGTTCTCCAATACTGACCCCCAGCTGGGAGGGATACGAGCTTAGTCCCATGACACTGCCATGCACTGGGGAGCTGGGCAGAGCTTGCAGCTGACTGTGGGGCCGTGGTACACTATACAGGGCTTCAGCAATGTCTGCTGCCCTTTTCAGCAACATGTCCTACAGCCAGGAGAAGAAAAGAAAGAAGTTATGTTGTACGTCTACAAGCAGTATACTTTTCATAGCTTGTGCTGAGCTGGTAGGTTAGAGAAGCATTTTTCTACATATTGAATGGTTCATTTTTTAGGGCTATTGTCCCTTAAGAGCCCATTTGAGTATAGCACTCTGTTGGGATTACCTGGTTACTGTGGGTGTTTCCATAGACCGCCTCAACTAGATCTGCTGCCCTTTTCAGTAACATCTCCTAAAAACACAGAAATGGAGATTAACATCTGCACATACATAGGTGTATGGACATCATATAGAGGTTCTGGGAGTATACCAGGAGGTTTCTGACCTTTGCCAGTTTTTCAGGGTCCCCAGGATGTCTAGGGATGACTTTCTGAAGCCTCTGGAAGCCATAGTCTATGGTTGGCTCATTCAGTGCTGAGGATAAATTGAAAATGCACATTAACATAAGGTCATAGATTCCAGCAGACACACATGGCTTAAACACATCATGATCAGAAAAAAAAATACAAATAAATAGACTGAACGGTACTAAAGTGCTGTCCTACCTAAAACATTTAACCAATGCTATAGAATGGCTGAAGTATATTTCTGTAAACTTTCTGTATATTTGTGTATTCACCTGTGTAAATGAAGCGTCCTGGTGCTCCCTTGCAGAACTGTTTTGATTTGTAGGACAGTGTGACTTCTACAACCCCTGGAATGTGTCTTGGAGGTGTCTGAACCCGGATAGCATGAGGAGTGATTAACTGCAAAAAAAGAGATATAGATAGCATTTGAAAACTTTTACACAAATAGCAACTGTATTATTTATCTTTTCTAACATGAATTAACAGGGTTAACACAAAATAGTGCTTTCAATTTGTGTAAATCATTACACATGAATAAAGTATATATAAGACAATATATATAACACAATTCTTGCCAAAATTAAGTAAACTTAAAAACATTAACTGTCAGTGATTATCTGGTACCAGCATACAGATACAGATCACATAAATTTAAATATTTTTTTCTCAGTATATTTTTGAATTATTATATCATATCATATCATCTATGCTTCTTGATATTCAGAATTCTAATAGTTGTTTGACCACAACATTCATTAAAATAGTAGCTCAAAGATTATAGTGATAAAAGTTTTCTTGCATTTCTAACCTCACTCCACACCAGCATGCTCCCAAACACGACCTGCAGACCGTCAAAGAAATTCTCCCCGATAATTATCACCATAGCGCCTCCTGTGGTCCACCCTTCACTGGGGCTGATGGCTTTGATACACGGGGTGGCTGTTTACGTAGAAACAGACAGAAGAAGCAACTCATTGAATACATGCTCATTTACATGCACTAATATCAACTGAGTAAATGTTATTGCACTGACTTGGATGAAGTTTGGGTCAGATATATAGACAGAAAATAATGTACAGTACAAGAGAACAATCAAGAGTAACTGATTATTTATGATATACACCACTGTTAAAACATTTTAAATCACTTACCATTTCTATTCATATTTTTTTTGTTATCTGCCACAAGATTTGATTACAACTTTTGAGGCATGCTAGATATTCATTTTATTATAACTTTACCTTGATTATATACAGTTTTCTCAGTCACTTCCGAATCTTTTTTAGCTCCATCCATCTAAAAATGCTTGTTCTAACTTTTAAACAGTTGTTTCAAACTGAGTTTATTGTGAGTTAGCCTTGGTATTCTATTTATCTTCCCAGGAGCCAAAAGGCTAAAGGTCTTACCATATTCCATGGGATTCTCCAGTGTTTCACCTGGCTCCAGTCTACGTGCCCGACGGCCATGCTTGGAATTGTTGTGGACAAACATGTTATCGGACACAGCGAGAACATGACCGTCCACGCTAATGGTGCTTGAGAGGACCACCTGTGTGAAAAAGGAAAAAGGAACCATAATACTTCAGTGGTGGGTTGAAGTAAGTTGAGTGGTTTCAGAAGATAGTATTAGTTGATGTACCTAATGCTTTCCATTCAAATGGCCCCACAGTATTATTCATGAGTTATGGATATTCAGATTCACTTCTCTCCATGTTATGTTTCTCACATCTTTTTTCTGTCTTTAATTTGTCTACTCATTCATTCCACTCCCAGTGGTCCTTCTTGGTCCTCTCTATCCTCAGAAGTACCCCCATCATTGTCTTTCTGTCTGCATGCTCCTTTTTTGTTTCTCCCTCTGTCTCTCTCTCTCTCTCTCTCATGCTCACTCTCTCTCTCTCTCTCTATTTCTCTCCTGGTCTGTGCATTAACAGCAGACAGTGTGGAGGTCTCTGTGGTCCAGCACATCTTTAAATGACATCAAACATATGGAGTGAATCTCCTTTGTGATACAATGACTGATGATGCATTCTGGCCCCTAATTTATTTTTTAGTGCACAGTGGTTATGAATATAATTCACTCACACATGATTAATTTGTAAAAGCATGCTCGCGGCTACTAGGATTACATCTGGCCCAAAAAACATACAGGGTTCATGGTGCGGTAGGCGTGACTGAAGGAAAAGCAGAAGAGAGCAAGAAGAAATGCAGGTACAAGAAGACAATAATAGATCATGGTATCACAATATTTGAAGATATTTCAGTTTGCATGAATAACGTTAATGAACCAGTGCTTTCTGAGTATCAAAACTGTCCTCAGTTGTTTTGATTGAAAACCCTTATACAGTATTACACACTAGACTTCCAGAAAGAAAACTAATTATTTGTTTTCTGTGTATTTCGAACATTTTTTAGCCCAACAAATGACATACACTGCAGTTAACAGTCAGGTCATAAATAAAGTGTGCAAAATAGAACTTAAAAACCTAAAAGACTGCTAGGCAGCGGGGACAATGATGTTTTTGTACATATAATGCTCATTATTTATCAATGACGGTAAAACTGACGGTAAAAAATCAATATCACAGATGCCCGTACACTAGCACTAGTATGAGAGAGGGTCAAAATGAGAGTTGCCGATGAGAGGTCAAAAAAACAGAGCTAGAGCAGAGAGATACTGGACAGATGTTTGGCACAGCTAGCTGCTAATAGGTGGCAAAGTGGAAGCGCAATGTATGTTCACTGGATAAATAACTGTAAATTCTCAAGAGCAGCTCCTGTGCACAGATGAATAGAGGTGTGGGAGCTGTGTAGAAGTTGTTTCTCAGCATGTGTCAGAGGGAAAGAGTTAAAACAAACATGGAGGAAGGGGAGAAGAAGGGAAAGAAACAAGGGAGGTAAGAGGAAGAGATGTTAGATTGGGAGGGGGGGTCCGGCAGTGAAAGACAGACGGGAGGAAGTGAGGCGGGAGGGTCCCTAGTGAGCACTTCCTGGGTCATGGAGCTTGACCTCCCCCATCTGGAGCCAATCACTCAAATCTTGACAACTTCCTGAAACACCTCGGCTGATTTCCTGCGATCTCTGCATCTCCCAATCCACTCCCACCTCCCTGCTCTCTCCTTTTTTGCCTTTATTCTTGCTTTTATCAGACATAGAGCTCTAACCTGCTTGCTCTCGAAGCTTAAAATGCATTGTCTACAATCAGTTGGCAGTTTATTAAATAGAACTACCTTGTACCTACACTGATTGGCCATTTTGTCAGGTACACCTACCATATAGGTCCACTTTGTAGTTCTACAATGACAGACTGTAGTTGGTCTGATGTTGCACAAATTATCAGTCACCTTCTACCCTGTTCATCAATCAAAAGGGATCAGGAAAGACAACCACTGGCCAGACATTATTGGTGTGGTGGACACAGACACCAACACCAACAGTGACATCAAGGCAGTAGTGGCATTTGTGGCACGCAGATAATAGTCTGCCAATCAAATACATCAGTCAACAGTGGTCATGTAGTCAGAAACTGAACATTGTTTAAGAGCTAGAGGATAACTCTCGCACACAAATAGGGCAGGAAAAAAGCTACAGAATCAGCTATCAGCTAAGTGAACCATTAATGTAGGTGTTGGGCAGTGAGTGTATATGGTTGGTGCAGGTTTAATTTCCTGTCCAGGCAAGCACACCATGTTCAGAGTCACTGGGCAAGACTTTGTAACTAGCCTTCCTCTGTAACATGTTTAAAATGTAAGCCGCTCAGGATAAGGGCATCTGATGAATGAAGAAAGAAGCATTGAAAGAAACTGACTGGACATCGGGTTCTATATTACTACAGTTTATGACTATTATTTAAACTTAAGAAAATAGGTTTTCGCACTGTCCACATTGTATGAAGCTTATCTAACTATGCTTTCATATGCAAACACTTTATTTTGTTTTGTACCTGGAATCTTCTCATGTCTCTTGGGTTCCCTGCTGTCTTCAGACAATTTTGGTTACACTTGAGGAAAAACTTCAAGAAAAATCTGTGGGGAACAGAAGACAAAGGCAGAGTTTAAAGCATATGTTTTTTTTAAGAACTGGTCAATAGAAAAGTTCCATGAGAGGTTGTGAGTGCTGGTACCATTGTTTTGATATTGTAGTCCATGGATTTATCATAAAAATAACTTACAATCATGATGATAAAAAAAGGAAATTTCATAAGCAATGGCGATATGTGCCAAGTCCAACAGTGAGATGTGACTGAACTAGATATGAAAAAATGGGCTCAAAACAGTAGTGTAGGCTCAGGGGACAACAATATCCCACAATGCAATGCCTGAAAGTCCCATGGGGCAAGTCTGTGAGTCTGTGGCAGACAGAAAGAGAGAGGGAGAGGAAGGCATGCATATCTATGGCATATCATATTTATTTTGAAATAGTCTCTAACGATTGTGTGCGACAATATGTTCTGAGGTTTGTATGTGTGTGTGTGCATTCCACTGAGGAAGACAGAGTTGGCTTGTGGGATATATGGGATGTAAGTGAAAGATGGAGTGAAAATAGGTAGATGAGGAAGACTTGGGGGGGGGGTGGTAGAGAGAAGAGACTTCAAATCCCAGGAGTGTTTCGTCCGGCAATATGGGACTGCTGCTATGGCAACCAAGCTCTGGCGCAATCTCAGAGTCCCCAGTGTAAAGGAAGGCAGGACAGAAGAGTGAAAATGCAACTGAAAGCTAACATTCCATCACAAGACAAGGACAAAAAGAGAGAGCGAGACAGGCACTGTGAGAGGGAGAGAGGCAGAGACAGTTCTCAAACTCCTAATTTAAAACATTTTAACCCACTCTATTTTACAAAAATATTTTACAACTCACTGTACAAAGGCATATTGTCTGTGTTATATCAAACCTTGTAACTCTTCAAGTAAACTACAGCTGAGGGATGCATGATCAGACTCAGCAGAATTTTGCACCAAACATGTGACATATTATTATTTATTATATCTGTGCTCTTACTCTGTATTTGATTGCTGTTACTACACTCATACCAAAATTCCATATTATAATTATGCATGCCTCTTTGTGCTAAATAGCCACCTCTTACTTTAGATCCAGCACTTTATTTGATTCATGTTCGTTAAATAGTCAATTGATTTCTGATTTTTTGTTTAAGAAATTAAAATGCGATTTTGGCTCTTTAAAGAAAAAATAGCATTATTTACTCTGCAACTTTGGCTAATAGAAAGTACTGGAAATGTGCTGTTTTGTTTCATATGTTCATTTAGCACTCACAATGTGAGGTTGAAAAAAGCTAATAATACACACATGTTCCCAAGAAATGTACAATGGACATTTGATTTATTAACAAGAGATCTTTTCAGTGGCCTTACAAGTGTCTCTGGAATTCAACCTCAGCCTTGAAAATTCCCAATCAGAGCATTCCTACCTTACACTGTGTCTATTTTCATGGTAACTGTGCCAACGTAAATGTTCCAAAACGACTTGCAATAAAGTCTTTTTTCATTGATGTGTGCAAAAACTTTGAACACCCCCAGTGAAATGACATGTTCTGTTGATTTTCAAAATAAAACACGTTCAATATGAACAAACTTCAATATGAAACTTTTCTGCAAATTTTATTGCACAATTTCAATTAGTTTAACATTTGGAAAAGATTAACATGAAAAAAATTAAATATAAAAGGTGCCATAACATTTGTACAGGCAAGATTTTATGTTTTATTTTTTCTACCATTCTTTTAAATTCAGTAAAAAAACAGTGACTGTGCACTAAAATGTGCAAAGTGTGTTCTCTGAAAAAGGATGTGTACTTATGTTCACTCAGAAAATCAACAAGACATGTAATTTGATCAGGGATGCCTCAAACATTTGTATATAACATTGTCACATCATTAAAAAGCTAGAGGAGAACATGAGTTATTTACTATATAATATCAAGTGAGACACACATGCTAACTGGAAGGACTAGCAACAATAACGAAATTTGGTCCTCAAATATGATATTTTCATGTGGTTCAAAATGTCCTTGTCTTTTCAGTCATTTTCATTTCCATTTTGGGCAACGCTTAAGAACTGGCTTAAGATTAAAGCTAATTTCTAGCCAGTATCCCATGCTTCTTAGTTTGAGCTATTTAAGCAAATCACAATCAATATTTTTGTCAATCGATTTATTATTGTCATCTTGCAGTTCGCTTATTCCTGAAATCTGACATTCCAGCTTCAAATCTACAAATATACAGCCTACATGTCTGGCTTGTCTGCCATTCCTAATTAGGGCTTCAGTTAGTAGTCTCCAGCAATTCTGCTTAGATGTTCAGCATGAGGGTATTTGAGCAGATAGGAATAAATGAGGAAGCAAAGTAGTTCAGAAAATGATTAGATAGAAAAATGTAATTTACATTCACATTTACCCTGGGTGTAGCTGATTAGGCAAGGCATTTTTGCTTCTTTTTTGCTTCTATAGTTTAGCACTTGAACTAGGAAACTAACATTGCTAACAATCACTGGAAATCAATAGACACTCATATCTTTTCTGTAAACATATTCTCAAAATGTCTCTCCTGCTCAAACCACATCCAGGTCTTCATTAAGGTCACACAGACTTGTCTATTTGGTTTGCAGCACAGTATGAGTTAATGAACAAAACCCATTGTGTAGATAAATGCAGCAGGTAGCAGGTGCTGGCTGCCTGTTGTGTTTAGCTACACTGTGAAGTTTTCTCCTTTTTTGTAACTCACAGTAGGTCATACTTTGTGTTAAACCATATCAACAACTCTGTGAAACCTTAATGAATAACTTAATGATCTGGAAGCAATTTAAGCAGGTTGAGAGAACATTTGGTAATGTTTTATGTAAGAAGATTTGGATAACTCTTTCCTTCTAATGTTTGTTCCTACTAATATTTGTAGGTCCAGTGCCAAAGGAAACAAGCAAAATTTACACACTAAACATGTCGACCGACTACATGTGGGGCAGGTGATAAATCATGTAAATTTGACTGTCAAACAATTACTTTAAGTGGTACAGTGGTTAATTGTTTGTATTACGAAATTTGCATACACGTCAATATCTCCAAGAGCTTTTTCAAGAGAGTATGGGAGATTCATTTAGGAACAGTAGCTTCTCCTTACTGAGAGGAAATTTGATAACTCACAGTGTGTTCATAATCACAAGTTCAAAGTTGAAATTAATTAGCTGTGATGTAGTATATCCAAAAGTTCTGCATGCACTACTTAGCTAGGTATATGTACTTTACTGGGTACTACTAACTGCTATATACTTTTAGTTAGTAAGGTTGAAGAATAGTATGTTCTGCAATTGCAAATACGTGGTGAGTAAGGACAGATCTACATGCCTGGATGTCTGCTCTGTTCTATACGCAGGACCTGGATATGTGAAGGTAATGGAACCTACAGTTAGAAATGTTAGAATTGCCCTATGCCAACAGAAAGAATGACGTATATCATCCTTTTCATTCAGAGTGCAGCAGGGACAATTGTATTCTAGTGGGTGCATAGATGGGTGGAGTCACTCTGAATTGAAAAGAGGTCCTAGTGCATCACTTAAGCTGCTAGTATAAACTTTCAGTCAACTTCAGACGTCTTACTTAACGTCTCTTTCTCTCTCTTTCTCCTCATTCCCTAACATCCTAATTTCTCACTCTACATGGCATTTCATCCTATAATATTCACCCTCCATCCACTTGGTCAACTTTTCACCCCTTAAAGAGTCAGTGGCGCACAGCTGCGAACAGCCAAAATTAAAGAACGATGGCCACGCACACATTAGCATGCATTAGTCACTTCCCCCTCCCTGTCCACTTAGCATGCAAATCTCCCAGTCTCAACGCCTCACGCCTTCTGCCACACAGCCATTCGCTGCATTATAATTAGAGCAATCTTGCATAATTAATTAGGACTCCCGGACACCCCCCTTATTGCCACACAACACTCAATCTCAATTGTGCTGTGGGGGAAGTTTAATATCAACAATGTTTGTTTTCTGTTGTTGTGATAGGGGACGGGGACAGTAATGATTAAAACACTGGATTGGGGACAGTAATGATAAAAAGGATGTTTGGATGTTTGAAAGAAAGTGTGTAAATTAGTTATTGCAGACTTAGTAACTTTGTTTTTATGTTTTTTTATGTTGTTGATGCAGACTTTATAAATGAAGAAGGTACTTTTAAATAGCTTAATTTTGGGGAAACATTTTTAACTGATTGTTTGGAATTTTTCTTCAGTTAATGGCCAATATTTCTCAACAATGTCTTCACTCTACTGGCTGAACTGCTAAACCAACTATTATGAAAATCAGGATTGAAATTATTCTTTTTTATTATTTACTGTTATTATTTTTTCAATAAAAGCACAATGTTGCTGAACCAAAAGTGCTTGCCCCATTCTGAGCTACAGATGTCACTTGCATTGAGTGTATAAATCTATAATGTCAGGCAATGGTCGATTCCCTTTGCACCTCTAGGAACGCTTGTTAGAAAACAAAAGGTGGGGTTGAGTCTCAAGCCAGGGGATCCGTTTCCACAGAGGCTCAGAGGGAGTCCCTGGCTAGGCCTCTGAAAGGGTTTTGGCTGCATCTGCTTCACTTCTCAAGACTAAACACGAGTCTCTCAGCATGGGGTTGCCTTCTAAGAGTGACAACTTGCTTAACGTGGAAAAAAATATGGCAGGAATTGTCCACTGGAAACAACACTGCCTGCAGAAGGGCAACCTACGGATGTGATTGGCTGCCAGCAGCAGCATGCAATGGCCAGGATTCCAAGAGGATACAATTAACTGACCTTTCTTTTGTGTAGAAATACAGCACTTTGCTTGGTATAGCATACTGAAAAAAGTGGTTGCATTAAATTTATTTGATTCAAATGTGCACATCATTTTCACATATATCAAAATAAAACAGTGTAGAATATAATATACTTAGTTAATGCCAAAAGTAAGTACACTGAAAGACTCATTTGTATTGATGGGAACTTTTAAAATCAAGTAAATAAAGGATGGAGTAATAAGC